AACCAGCCCAGTTTTAAACTGAGCTTAAAGACAAAAGCCAAACCTAATAAAAGAGTTATTAATATTATTCATCAAAATATACAAGGTTTGGCTGGCAAAGACCTAGAATTAGAATTGTATTCAAAAAGTGAGGACATACACATTATATGTTTAACAGAACACTGGCTCAAGCTTTGTGAAATGTCGTATCACATAAACAACTTTCAATTGTTGAGTGCTTATGTTCGTAGGACAGCCATACATGGCGGCTCATTGATTTTTGTTAACAAAAATATTAAATGTAAGGATAGAAAGGATATAGCTGGCCTTTCAATTGAACGTAGCATTGAGCTGTCTTGTGTGGAATTAAATGAGATGATAATAGTATGCGTATACAGACCCCCTCTAGGTAACTTCAACATTTTTGAATCTGTGATGGAGGATGTACTGAAAAAGTTAAAGTCGAAAAATAAGTTTTTGGTTGTTTGCGGTGACTTTAATATTAATATTCTTGAACAAAATTCAATGTCAGTACGTATAATATCATTATTTAAATGTTTTAATTTGACCCATCAATTTTTTGAGCCTACTAGGGTGACATCACATTCAGCAACTTGTTTGGATAACGTATTTACAGATAGTACTCCTGATAATAAATCCATTTTTAATAGTATTACATCTGACCATTATGGCTTAAAAATACAATATAAAATAGATGTAACAAATGAATCTAAAGTGATTGAATTGAGACCAGTAACAGAAAACCGGTTAGAAATTTTTCAAAAAAACATTGACTATAGTATTTCTCATATCCCATGGACACATGATGATCCTGATATTCTTTTTGGGGATCTTTTTAATCTAATAAGAAATGAATTTGATAAGGCTTTTCCCTTAAAAACTTCGAAACTTACTCCAAAGTTACAGTTCTGTGACTGGGCTACGACTGGTATCTATAAAAGTAGAAACAAACTTTATGAATTGTATCATCTAAGAAAATATAATCATTCACAAGGTTTTATTGATTACGTTAAATGTTATTCTAAAACCTTTAAAAAGGTATGTGCAACAGCCAAATCTAATTTTATTAAAAATAAAATATGTATATCGAATAATAAAATCAAAACAACGTGGAATGTTATAAATCGTGAAACAGGCAAAGAAAGGTCACGTGACGATATTGTTGAACTTAAGTCGAATAACATGTTAATAAAATCTAAACAACATATCGCTAATATTTTTGATGAATATTTCATTAATATTCCTTTGGTGGCTACATCTAATTTGAGTTCTTCATCGGTGGCTGCCAAGACTTTGCTCGAGAAATATGTACCTAGGTGTGATAACGTGTTTCAGTTCAGACATATTAATTTTATTGATGTTATTAAGTGTTTTAAATCTCTTAAACAAAAAAATACAAGTGATTTATGGGGTATTTCTACTAAAGTTATTAAAAGTATAATACCCGTTATTGCTCCTTATCTAGTTGATATATTTAATAACTGTATTGATCAAGGAGTATTTCCGGATTTAATGAAATACAGTAAAGTTATACCTCTTTTTAAATCAGGAAATAGAAATGACCCTGGAAACTATAGGCCTATATCAATATTACCGGTTCTTAGTAAAATATTTGAAAGAATTATTCTGGAACAATTGATGCCTCATTTCAACCTTAATAAACTTTTGCATAGGAAACAATTTGGTTTTACTAGAGGTAGATCTACTACTGATGCGGGTGTTGCACTTGTAAGGAGTATATTGGAGGCTTGGGAGAGGTCGCAGAATGTCCTTGGAGTGTTCTGCGACTTATCCAAAGCTTTTGATTGCGTTGATCATCACACGCTGTTATTGAAATTGAGTCATTATGGAGTCAAAGGTACTGCATATAAATTGATACAGTCGTACCTCAGTTCCAGAATACAAACTGTAGAGGTAAATGGTGTTAGATCATCTGGATCTCATGTGGAAATGGGCGTTCCCCAGGGTTCAATTTTAGGTCCCTTCCTGTTTCTAATATATGTAAATGATTTGCCATTTTTTGTGGAAAATTTGTGTGAGATTGTATTATTTGCTGATGACACATCTTTATTATTTAACGTTGACAGGCGCAAAAACAACTATGACGATGTAAATAATGCTCTCTCTCAAGTTCTGCAATGGTTTAATGTCAATAATCTAAAGCTAAATGCTAATAAAACCAAGTGTATTCAATTTTCCTTACCTAATGTAAAAGTTGAGCATATTGGAATTAAATTAAATAATGAAAAATTAGATTTAGTAGACTCGACTACATTCTTGGGTATAACGATAGACTCAAAACTGCAATGGAGTCATCACATTACGCTTTTGGCTGGTAAACTTAGTTCAGCAGCTTATGCCGTAAGAAAGATAAGACAACTTACTGATATAGATACTGCCAGGACTGTATATTTTAGTTACTTTCATAGTATCTTATCATACGGCATTTTACTCTGGGGAACAGCAGCTGATATTGAAAGTATTTTCATTTTACAAAAAAGAGCTGTGAGATCTATTTATCAATTGAGTAGCCGAACATCTCTTAGAGAAAAATTTAAAGAAATTGGCATTTTGACTGTTGCTTCTCAATTCATTTACAATTGCATACTCCTCGTTAAAAATAATATCAATTTGTATACCAAACACAGTAACGTACACAATTTTAATACTAGGAATAGAAACAAGCTTGCATTGCCAGCCTACAGGTTACAGAAGCTTTACCGATCTTTTATGGGTCAAGGTATACATTTTTACAATAAAATTCCTGATGCTGTTCTTGAGTTACCCATAAATGAGTTCAAATGTCACATTAAAAGTTGTTTAGTTAAGAAAGGCTATTATACTATTAAAGAATACTTGAATGACAAAACTGCATGGCTGTAACTTCAAAATTGTTTTGTATTTGTTTGCAGTGTCGTACAGATAAATTACCTTAACTCTAAGTAACCACTTTGCAGATTGGTTTTAGTGGTTATGGGTAGTCATGCTCTCTTAAAAATCTCTTCGGCGGTGTCGTGTGAGGCGGGTCGTTGCGTTCCCTAAAATATGGTTGAGCGAAGCGATGGCTGGTTCATGCGTCATACTCGTGAACGGGTGCTGCCAGCGGAGATGAGTCTGCTCTATACTACTTTATTATTGTAATGATAATTATTATTAATTTTTGATTGTATTTTACATTACACAACTTGTGTTTATACTGTGTGACACAGCAATCAAAATGTAAGTGAACATATATTATTTCTCTGATAAAGATTTAATGGCGGTGTGGATTCTGGTATGTTTTTCTAGACCTGAACTTGGTTTTGCAGTGGTGTATCCTTGTCATTCTCTATACAGACTGAAAGGGGGGGACTGATGTTTGATTGGTTTTGGGTTGGAAGAGTATTGCCAGGGTCGACAACAGTGTTTAGGTAATCACATGCATGTGTCCTGCCGTTGTGTTTATAGTTTGTTATAATAATGTACACTGGTACCTATATGTATTTTTTTTTTCTATTTTAGTAACATAGTATCCATGTGTGGTTATGAGTAGTCATGCTCTCTTAAAAATCTCTTCGGTGGTGTCGTGTGAGGCGGGTCGCTGCGTTCCCTAAAAAATGGTTGAGCGAAGCGATGGCTGGTTCATGCGTCATGCTCGTGAACGGGTGCTGCCAGCGGAGATGAGTCTGCTCTTAATTCACTGGGTACTACTATTAATCGTTGTTCTAAACTTTAATCGTTCATTATTATTATTTTCTTTTTGCCTAAGCGGTAGGACACGTCATTCCTAAACTTTGTTAAACCATTTTTTTTACATATTTTAATTTTTTATTTTATAGTCATAATTTTTATATTATTTGCATTTTTTTTTTGTTTGTAATGAAAAGTGACTTTATGAGTTACCTCATATTGAAGTCATTTTTCAATTTGACGACTCTGTATATAATACAGGGAGAAAAAAACAGCCCTTGCTGAGTTTCTTGCCGGTTCTTCTCAGTACAAGGTCTCCCGCCGTAGATTTGCGAACCGATGGCGTAGCTTTTCGACATTCACAAGTGCTTGTAACAGCCTAGACTGAATAAACGATATTGAATTTTGAATTTTTTGAATTTTGAACCCGATTGAGCATGCATGGGATATGCTACAGAGAAGAGCTCTGCCGAATATGGAGGGTATCCAGTCGCAAGAAGACCTTTTTTTGTTGTTGCAACGAACATGGGCGGCCATTCCACAGCGTGATTTGGATGAACTCATTTTGAGTATGCCAAACCGATGTTCTTGTGTTGTTAGTGTTCGCGGTAGAAATACGGATTATTAATTGTTTAAGTTACCCAATAAAATTTTAGAGAAAACTGTTATTTCAGTCTTTTTTTCGAACTTTTGTGTTAGTGGTTCAAATGTCAAAAATCCCTTTATTAGGAAAATGGCAAATTTCTTTATTAATGCAAAGGTGACTTGGTTTATCGTTACTGTGACAAACGAAAACACTTTATTTGATGAATCCTTAAAGAAAATTTTAATTAATATCAATCAGGAGAAAAGTTATTGCAAAAATATATGTTGATCCCTAGACACTTTTGATGTGTGTATTTATAAAAACATAATATGTTGCCCAAATAACTTTAATTGTAGAACGGTATGGTATGGATGTTATAGAATGTGATATTAGGGCTTTATTCAATGGGACCAAAGCATTAAAAAAATGCTAACTTCTCCGAAACATTTTCTGGGCTAAAAGTTTCATTTTAATAATTATATTAAGTAAGTAAGTAAGGCTAAACGAATATATTAATATTCGTTTAGCCTTACCTAATATTTTAAAATGAAACTTCATCGACTTCATTAAACTTCCAAGAATTTGTCATTCGACGTCTAAAATGCTGCTCCACTCACTGTAATATTTGTAATTTTCTAAATTTAAATAATACAAATACATCACGTATAAAATAAAAACACAAAGCTAACATTATAAACTGATTTTATGAATCAGTACGCAATGGGTGACAATGGGAAGCTCTTACCCTACCGCTGTCCATTGGTCACTCCGTCTGACAGTAGGTAGCATTATCCGCGTATTGTTTTACTGATATTTCCGATAAAATTTCAAAAGGAAACAATGAGTTATTTTAATATAAAATTTCATAGAGTAAGGCCCTCGTTGCCTTTGACGAGTGGTCTGAACCGAATAGTAATTTTCCACATGGCTAATCACTTCGGTTAAAAAATTCAATTCGCAGTGCGCTCGATCGAATGACGATATTTTCAATCCGTTCTTTCCCGTCGTTTTGAGCTTTTAGAAGGCTTTATTAATCTTGCTTCTATTCAAATTGTGGACTTTCCCGGAGCTTTTCTATACTATTTAGTTCGTTCTATGTGACACTGTAAATAGTTAACGACTTCGTATTCTATTATAATAAAGTGCAAGTATAAGTTTATCAAACTTTAATTTAAGAGAGATAACCATGAGATAGTCATGTTCGCAGATACATCACTTTTCTTTAAACTCATAAGCAAGGAAACAGATATTGACGAAGTGAACAGCTGTATCTCTAAGGTAGTCCTCTGGTTCAATGTTAATAATTTATTACTTAATGAAGAAAAAGGAGCGGAGGAGCTCGAGATAGCAAATTTTGGTCACCTATCCAATGACCGATCAATGCGAAAGTTGCTTAACTTCAACGATTGCAGCCGAACGCGCTAACCACTTGCGCCATCTAGCTCAATTATGTTATCTATTTTACTAAATCATTGTTACCTCACAAAATTGTAGTATAAAGTTCATTTTAAACTATTAAGTTACTCAAATGACTATTGTTTAATACGCTCAATTGCTTCTGCTAAAAAGCGCGGGCTATTGGTACTGGAAAAAGGTTTTCCCTTAGCGCGGCACAAGCAGTGAGCGCCATTAAAGTCACGTAACGTCGAATTGTAAAAGCTCTTGAAAAGTATTCCTAGTTTTTCGATTATAATAAGTAGAGTTAAGTAAAATATGAACAATAATATGGTAAATATAATATGATGTAATCATAATTCAGTTGTGCATTGTTTAATTTGACTCCCACCTGAGATTGCGATAGTCTTGTTACATATCAGTGTGTTGTAATATTGGCAGTAAGACAAGCAGGAAAAAACGGTTGTATTGTTATTCTTAAGCTAGATTAGCTAGATTTATAAATCTACCGAACATTTTCACTATAAAAAAATAGATGCGATCCGGTTTTCCAACAAAGAAAGTCCAAATTTGGTCCCGCTGTGGTACCTACTTAAATCATGATCATTTACCAACTGTAATTTTTAAAATAATAAATTGTTTTGAACATCACTGTATTTTTCTATTCCAATAGAGAAATAATCAGCTAAACTAATAGATTTAAACTGATTTTAGATAAGCGGCATAAGTTGACTCAGTTTTGTGAGTATTTTCTGTTTCAACAACTCTGCCAACATTTCATCGTGACAGAGACACGAGTAAGGTAAGTAGGCAGCTTTTATCGTTCACAATAAGTGTCAGTTACCAACCCAATGTATTAGCCTAATGTGTTACATTACCTAAATATTCTGGATCGGTCTTCAACTTAGATTAAAACAAAAAGGAAAGATACGGCACTCGCGGCTCAAAAGTGATCCTTTATGGTGCATGACCACAATTCGTTTTAGTCACAATTGGACATCCAAACATGATGCATGTGCACTCAATATAACAAAATTACTTCGATGCTTTTATAAAGAACATAAATAGTTCAAGATCAAATAACAAATGCCACGGCAACACTTTTCATTCGTAAAACTATAATAACATTTTGAATGAATGTTACTTACTGATTCAAATTTATTATCAAGAAAAGGAAAGCAATACAACTCAGCCATGGAGAGAGAAAAGAATATGTTTATTTACAGAAGTATGAGTGTGTGTGAGCTGCTTATATAGTTGAGTCGGATCATATATTATTTGATGTTAGTATGGGCGTACCGTATCTTCCCTTTTTGTTTTAATCTAAGGTTTTCAATAACAACTATAAAGTGGCCAGGACCATGTGTACAGATTTCAAATGGTATTCAAAACCCGAAATAATGAATTTCGCTCTAAAAGGTGGTCTCACAACTTTACAGACGACTACAGCTAAACGACCGTCAAAGCGTCTATTATATTGAAAAAAGCATTTTTAGGTTAATTTGTGGAACTTACACACCTACACAAGTTATGGCAGCCGCAAGTGGGCTATATTTAACTGTAAGCTTCAACTTGTTTGCTACGCCCTTTATGCAAAAACAATAGCTGAAAAACTATTTAGTATATCTATTAACAATACATAATTAATTTACCAAATATTTCTTAGGTCCAAAACTCCCAACTATATTTCTAAAAGTTCTTCTGCAACTTCAGTGCTTGTTCTTATTTTGTAGTGCATTTTTCATTCATTCGGTATTCGTTTTACATTATGACGATGGACTGTAAATACCTACGTGATACCAGTAAAACCCTTATGTATAGGCACATTTCATCCGGTAATGGTTACAAGGCTTTATGATGTTAATCCACGGTAAAATCACGATCCGCACCGGGGCGCCCAGTAAATATTTTCAGTCAGCAAAAAATAAACAAGGTTTGGTGTTGGGTAACGCTTGCCTGTGCTTTCGTGATTTAAGCGACACTTGTGAACATTCATATTTAAAACAGGTTTTGTTTAAATGAGTTTTCATTATATTTTTAAGCATTCATCATCATAAAGAAAAGTTTACTAGAAAAAAAAAAGTTAACTAAAGAAAAGTTTACTAGAAAAGTTTTTTCTAGTAAACTTTTCTTTAGATTTAAACATCTAGCAGTTAAATGCTTAAAAATAAAATAAAATCATTCATCATCATCTTCATCAGCCAATTAATATTCTCGCAGCTGGAGCACAAGGAATAGGAAGAACGTCATTGAGCTTAGTGCGGATAAAGGTCGTAGTAGACATGAGGAGCTGGCGAACAAAACGGAATAATTACGCGTCTGGTCAAATAACTTTTTTTTACAGTACGGAAGTTTCGGGCCCGTTAAATTTGAATCTCAAATAATTTTCAATCAAAACCACCTAAAGCAGTGTTAACATTACTATGGGCATTGGACAAAAATGTATGGACGCTGCACCCACGTCCGCCACGGCTTAAACTACATTTGTTTGAAAGGTATTGTAGTCATGATCATTTGTGCCAAAGCGCAGCAAATTCCATCCCGGGAGTCTTTAGTTATTTTAAGTTAAATAGGTACAAGTACTATAAGTATAACTAATGAAGATTAATGAAACAAGGGAATTAATTTAGTTAGTTCGACCATACACAGAGGGCTCAGGTAATATGGGTACTTCACGAGGTGCAAGGCTGCCCCCCTATGTTATTCTGCCACACTCAAGTGATTCCAAAAATCCCCGCATGGGTTGGTGTTTTTTCAAATAGTCTGTTTGTTATAATTGTCTACTATGTAAAACAGAGCGGACACAATTCACACAAACTTGTCCACGCTTCGGAGCAAACATGATTCCAGTTCATCCATACTAATTGACAAAACCGATAATTGTGTTCCAATGCCCAAAGCCTGTCAGATAAAAATCAATCAAGTGACAGGGAGCGCACAATCACAACGAAGTAAAACAAGTCGACTATTTGCATCTGCAAGTCCTTCAACCCCCGTAAACCGTTTTGAGGTGTCTCAGTAAGTGCAAGCACAGGATGGTCGCCAGGCTTTGTCGTATATGTGGTTATATAGTACGATATATATATATTATGGTTAGTAATAATATAAAATAAAGGTACTATAAAATTGATATTATAAAATTTTGTTATTTTGCTACTTAAATATGCCCATGTGTCTTGACTACCAGGATATTTTTACGGTGTCATATCTTTTGACTACCGGAATATTTCTTTACGTTGTCGTAATAAAAAAGGCTAGTTTTTCATAGATCTATCGATTCATACTAATTACATTGTTGGCGGAGCTGGGTGTGTTTTGCCCATTGTCCTTTATAAATTAAAAACCATGCCAAAAGCTCACTGTGTAGCAGCTCAGGTATGATGTCATTCAGCTTTATACAGCTTTTGTAAAATTTAATTTTATGTTATCATACCATTTTGTTCAATCAAACTTGGATTCTTTGTATGAAACTCCCTATTACAGTGCACGCTAAGCGCAATCGTAACCTAATGGCCTCGTCTCGGGACAAGCTCGTATTTTCTTCGTGAGGTGATTATGTTACTATTCCGATTAGTGTTCGTTGCAGTAGGGAGTTTCATAAAAATAATACGGAACGGCTCGAGTTGATACTTTCGGTGTGGATCCCTTTGCGAGTCGATATGTCTGCTATGACCTTTATTGGGTGTAACAACTGCAGAGGCTTTTAGCATTAAACTGCTAAAAATCAACGCAAATTAGATTTTTAATTAAACAGTGAGGAGGTGAGACGCTGCCGTGTATCATAAGGTAAACTAAACGAAATTCACACATGCATTAAGTTCTAGATAACACAGTGGTCAATGCGATCGCTTGTAAAACAAAAGACGCTGATTCGACGATATATCTACGAACCGCCGATGAATTTAAAAAATAAGAAAATTAAAACTTGGTGTGGTCATATGAAACGATGATGCAAGTGAAACTTGAAAATTGTGATTAATATTATCAATAAAAAAGTCATTTCTTGGTTGGAAATCGAACCCGGGCCGCCAGCGAAGCAGGCATGCTTTCTAACACTGAGTCACGAATGCTTGTTGATAATTCAACCATTTGACCTACCGCGGACATATTGTCCGTGTCGAATTCTCTCTAGCATTTCTTAGGCTGTAAGGCAACGCCATCTCTTCGCATTGTAGGTAGCCCACAATGTCTAATGACTACTTTACAAGTAGTAAACATTTGAAAGAAGAAATAGCAATTGTGGTTATTTCCTTTTAACATTTACCTGCTAGATGTTTAAATCTAAAGAAAATTTTACTTGAAAAATTTCCACGCGTTCTAGGCAGCAGACGGGACTCGAACCCGCACCCTCGGCTATCCTAGCGG